AATGCTTCTGGGGAAAATTTCCGCGGTCGCTGTTCAGTGACGTAGACTGTAGTGTAACTATTGTAGCCCCCTGTAGGCGACTGAGCACACTGTGATTACGACAATTTGTACATGATAGTTTAATAAATATTTGCATCATATCTATTTGATTCACCTGACCTGCCCGTAAAATTCCAAAACCTTAAAACCCGCCCGTTTCATCAACTATTTGCGGGTACCCGACCTGGTGCAGGACTGGATTGCGTATGTTCAGGTGCGGGACTCTTACCAGAAAAGTTACATGTCAACTTTATGTACAGTACTTTTACTTCTTTACGTTCCACCGCCAGGCTCCTCCCTCTCGTCTCCTGAGCCCCTGCACACTACAGTTCATACCCAGGCCAGGCTCCACCCCAGCCCCTTGCACACTGCTGTTTCAGACCCAGACCCAAGCTCCTCCCTCTCCCCCTGAGCCCCTTGCACACTCCTGTTCAAACCCAAACCCAAGATCCTCCCCTTCCTCCCTCGGCCCCTGCACACTCCTGTTCAGACCCAGACTCCTCCCCCTTTTCCCCTGAGCCCCTGCACACTCCTGTTCATACCCAGACCCAGACTCCTCCCCCTCCCCCCCACAGCCCCTGCACACTCCCATTCAGACCCAGACCCAGACTCCTTCCTCCCCCCGTCGGCCCCTGCACACTCCTGTTCAGACCCAGACCCAGACTCTTCCCTCTCTCCCCCCCCTCAGCCCCTGCACACATCAGCATATGTGGTGACGAATGACACATTTATTTTTCTACAAAGGTTGTGTGTATGTAAAACTGCTCAAGTGCATCAAGATGTCAAGTACTTGGGGAGGGCCACCCAGGTTGTGTTGGAAGATAACCAGATGGAAGTATAACATTAGCAGGGGAGTCAAAGAAACGGACGGGGCTCTATCTCCCACTCCTGCTTTCGTTCCTGTGTTTGTGTTAGTCAGTATTTTGTCTCGTCTAATCGGTTTTGCTGATTTACAATTAAAGATTAAAGGTGCACTGTGCAACTTTTCTGGTACAGTTGTGACGTGGACTCGAGTTAGACTTGGTACGCTATTTTTAGGACTTGAGACTTGACTTGATAGAATAGACTAAGAC